TCAAGTGTCCTTGGATATGTCACAGGCCTTTGACCGTGCGCCGTGGGAGCTTATTGAGATGGCAGTGCAACGCACTGGTGCCCCGCCCTCGATGTGTACCGCCATCATGCAATGGATCCAAGGCACCAAATATGCCATTCCGTACAGAGGGCAATCGGTGTGTGTCGAGGCAGGCAGAGGTGTTCGCCAAGGATGCGTGTTGTCGCCTGTTATCTGGTCAGTATATACGGGCTTGCTTTTCTTGGAGTTTCAATCTATGATCATGTGCCAGGAACGTTTGCCAGACACTTCATTATACGCCGATGACACACACATCTCATGGCTGCTATACAAGCCAGAACATGTCACGCTTGCACTGGGACAGCTACGGCTGATGCTGGATCTGTTTCGCAAATTTGGGCTAACGGTTAACCCCTTGAAGTCACAGGCTATTCTGAACATTAGGGGTACTGGATCCGCGAGATTGAGAAAAACCTGGACAGTTGACGAGAACAACAAACGACATCTACGTCTTCCAGGGGGTTTACTGCAGGAGTGCATACCACTGAAGTCTTCGATTCAATACATGGCCATCACTCTTTCGTATGCCAATTTCGAAATGCAGACCATGATACAAAGAGTGGGTGTCGCGCAGGCTAGTTTCAACCGGCTCCGCAAGATCCTTCACGACAGAAAGGTTTTGACATGTTCTCAAAGATTGTATTTATGGCGATCTACTGTTTTGCCTGCTCTGCAATATGGAATCACCTGTGTGGGGTTTACCAGGCAATCGGCGGAAAAATGTCATGGCCTGGTCATGAAACACTTTCGTTCTATCAGCAATCTACCTCGGCACATTACGAAAGTTGACAATCAGGCACTTTTCCGAAAACTACGTGTCAAATCGCCGCTGGAAGCATTAGTTCAGAAACTTGGCGCTGAAAAAGACAGATTACAGTACAAATCTGAACACGACCCGCTGCATGTTTCTGATCCATGCGCGATGCTTGCCAGTTATGCTGCAGCGTATCGTGACTTGATACAATTTCAGCTGGCCATTGACAACTGTCGTCACACTCGACAACATCGTTCAGAACACAATCAGTTCATGTGCACGCTTTGTGAAGTCGGTTTTGCGAACCAAGCCTCTTTAAGACAACACATGAGCAAAGTACACACGGGGCAAAAGCAGGAACTGCCCTCCATTGCAAACCAACGGAATACCATAATGGGGTCTTCACTTGATGGTATGCCAACATGTCGCTGGTGTATGACGAAATTTACCAATTGGAGTGGACTAACGCGACACATTGTTCTACGCCGCTGCACTAGTTTTCCTGATCAAGAACATTTCACCGTAGAAGAAGCGCCGCCGCAGCACAATCCTGCCCTTGCGACAGACTCAGATTTTCTGGATGGCTTTCGCAGATCTGGACACCAATTTCTTCGAAAAATGCCCACGCATTTGAAGGTCCTCCAGCACCGTTGCATTTTGTGCGGACAGTGGCTCGCGAAAAGCTCAGCACTGAAACTGCATTACCGCAAACAACATGCCACAACATGGACTGACTTCGGTGCACAGGCTTCCAAAAGAGTCACGGGTACCCTGCTGTCGGGGCCTTGCCCTTACTGTGCACAGCGTTGCAGCCCTAACACGTTGCATAAATGTTCAGTATTGCTTCAGGTTTATTTGGCCTCTGCACAATATGAGCGTCGAAGAATCGATCAAACCCCCCAGCGCGGAGGAGCTGAAGCTCTTCCGACAGATTGTGACTCCGCAGGACACACCGACGGCAATGGAGACACAGGTACAGAAGCGCACCCTGGACGAAATCCCCGACGAGAAGGTACCGACACCGAAGCAGCCAGCCAAAGCCCCACGACTACAAACCGCTCAGAAGAAAGGCGCAAGCAGACCTGGTCGTGGCAGAGGTGGACAAGGATCGTCAAATCGACAAGCTCAAGGAACAGCTACCTCCTCGAACGCTCCACCAGAAGTCATGCAACTAGTCCAGGTGATGGGACGCCTGGCAGTCAGACACGAGGATGCCTTGGCAGTGGAAAGGGCGAACAACGGGTACCTCCTATTCCTGCGACTTGGCGAGGGCCCGGAGGTGATTGTTCCTTTCCTATATCAGGTGAGGGAGAAGTGGCGCCAGGGGAAGGATGCAGATCCACCAACAGTTCGCAGCCCCCTTCGAGTGGTCATGTTCAGCCTCATCATACAGGAACTGGAGACCGGATGCAACAAGATGATCCAGACAGTGGAGTCTCACGAGCAAGCGATTCAGTCGAACATCCTCCAAACCCACGACGGCGAGCTTTCATGGCCCTATTTGGAATGGGATCCAGTGGGACAGAAAGAACTCCTATCGACACGGGAGCCCATGCCCAATTCGCGACTGGAACGCCTTCTCGCTCGCATCCAGGAAACCAGCCGAGGCGACATCATTCTTTGCTTTCACGGAAAACGGAAGCTCACGGAAAAGATGGAGGGCGAGATCTTTCCGATGCAACTGTCAGTGGCAACCAACGGACAAATTGCGCTGGATCTTCACCAAGATCTTCGCGACTTATGCCACCTCGGAGCATGGAAGTTGATGGGGGGACGTCTTCGTCAAGCACGCATCCAACGCGATCCACTTGCCAACAAGCTGACGGAATTGCTCGACGGCATACAGACAGGCACACAACAGATACGGTTCTGTCTAATGTTCATATTCGATGGTTTCCTTCTGATGTTGAGCAAGACCGACCATGGCTACCGTATAGCCTCAGTAATCCAGACAATCGATGTTATCAGAACACTGTTTTTCTGGGGCTAATTTGGATACATCAGTGCTTATGTCATTCGTTGCCCCCAGTGCTATCCGAGTTCTTCATGTGTGGTGTCAAACAACCGGACGTGCATGCTTAGAGGATCATGATGGATGGAAAGCTATTTTGGCAGGATGGGACAGGCCTCATGAGCAACATGATGTCGCCGAGTTTTGCACGCGTCTGATGGAGAATGTGCCTATGCCAGTTTTTGCAGGTGAATGGCGCAAATGGGAGGCCGATGCTATCACGGATCGAGGTGATCTTAGTATCTCTAGTATCCTACTACACATTGGCAGACATAAATCTGTACAGTCCATGGTGCAGGCATGGCAGAAGCAGGAGCAGGGTATGCAGGCTCTGGTGAACCCGCCACATGGGTTAATCCTGCAACTGTCTCGTTTTTCGCAACAATCTCATCGCATCCGCAAACTAACGACGTCGGTTATTCTGAACCGTGCGGTCTGCATTACATGCTGGAATCATGCATCCAGCGAGCTGTCCACTACACACTATCGCTTGGTTGGTGTCATATATCATATGGGCACGCAGGTCAAAAGTGGACATTATCGGCTTGGACTTTTTGCCCCAGGCACTGACTCAGCCACTGCGATACACGTTACAGATGATTCGCAACCTGATTGCCAGGCCACACCTTCCGATTTGGAAACAATGACAAGAAACAGCTACATTCTATTCTACGTGATGCAGCCCAGTTGAACGATTTCAATACGCTATGAGCGGCAGCACGTTTCAGAAGGACTCTCTTAGCCTATATCCATTTTCTGCACAATCCCCTGTACATAGCGCAGGAATGGTATGCTCTCACCTGATGATCTTTTGTTGGTTTTACTTTTGTTATGGGTTTACTTTGTTGAATTCCTGCTTCCATCAGATGAGCGCCGCTACGGTACATGCTTCTGACAATCCGGCAAGTAGTTGTGGCATACCCCACTCCTAATCCTCTTATTTGGTGATGCGTGTTTTAGTATTTGTTCGGTACTTTCTGTTTTCTTGCAGGCCTCCGGGCCGGGGATATGCTCGTGTCTCCCATCTGCAGGTCCATGGACCGGGATGTTGTTCTGCGCTTTTCTTTCTTTCTTTCTGCTCTGGAACCTCAAAGGTTGCACACAGTTGCCGGGTGATTAAACACCTGCCAAAACTTTCGCTACGAGATCCAATGTACCTCCTTCTCACCGAACTTACATGTGCTTGTGATCTCAGCGCTTCAAAGTCAAAAAAAAACGGGGACGTCAAGTGGCCGTGCATCGACAAGTGCGCGTCTTCGTTTTGCCGGAGATGAAGACATTCGTCCTGAGCACACAGGAAGGCATGAAGTGACTTCATGCAAAGCATCCAATGTCGGATGCAGCTGGCAGCATGTAAGAGGGTTATGCTTAAGGAATTTCTCCAGTCACCAACTTTGGCTTCCCTGGATGCTAAAGTTGGCTGAAGGTTTTTGCTGTGATGCCTTGGGGGTATGTTGTGCCGATTCGGCGCCCTCCTCACAGTGGGGGTTGACGGCTTCTGATATAGGAGCCCTCTTCTCCCCACCTCTGGAGTCCGAAATCGACTTTCCGAAAAGCCCCAAACCACAAAAGGCCCAGCACACTACAACTCGCACAGCTCTGCAACACAATGCCTGATGCAACCCTGCCCAAAGACCCTTGGGCAGGTTTTTGCTGCTGAGGAGGTTCGCAGCCTCCAGGCCTCCTTGCAGCTATATGGGTGGTTCTCTAAGTCCCAGGGTCCCTTTTTGGGTCTCTATTTTAGAGAACTGCCCATATGGCGTTTAGGGTGGTTGTTTACGGTCCTTGAACCGTATGCCCCCAAAGCCCCAGATGCGAAATTTAATTTGCACGAGCTCGAAGACTCGAAGATTTTCATCTCACCGTCCCTGAGCCTTCTAGAGTTACGAGAAGCTTACGTCGGATATCAGGTTGAAGGTTTCGAGGCTTGGATTTTTTTGTGGTATACTGGTATAGGTTTTAGAGGGTCATCACCATGTCAGGCCAAGTTACCACCTGTTTCGGAAGGTGGCCAGGCATGGGGATCATGGGAACATGGCAAGAAGCGCGAGGGAGGGGAAACTTTGAGCATCTCTAAGCCTTGTAGGCTTGTAGGAAGATAGATATACCCTTTTGGGGGGTCCCTTTAAGCCCCTTCAAGGGACTCTGTTCCATTTGGGCTATAAATGGGGTAGCATGACCTACCTGGGTTCCTTCCCATTCGTAAGTGCCATGATGCTTAGTCCCTTGGAATTCGCTGAGGCGTGCACCCGGACCATGCTCTTCCTCATAACGGAGGCCTGGAAGTGTGAGCCCACCCGGTTAACCCTAAACTCTAAGCCCCTAGCCCGTAACCCCTGTACGCTGTTCCCGATACACTAAACCTTGTACCACGCTCTAAACCCCAACCCTTAACTAAAGTGACTAAACCCCAAGCTTTCGAAGGATGTCACACGCGGAATCTGAGCGATCGGGGAGTTGTCGGCGCTCTATGACCGCCCAAACTGACAACATAGGGGGGTGGGGTGGGGGTGGGGCGTTAAGTTCCCGATGGCTTTTGTTAATGCGTAGTCGCGGCTGATGATGTCGCCCGTGGCTGCAAACAAGCCGAAACCCTAGTCCCGAAACGCCAAACTTCAAACCCTAAGCCTCAACAAGCTCGGCGGCGACAAGCAGCAGGTTCTTTCCGCAGACGTGGCTGACTCCCGCTTTGCTGTGACACCGTCCCTGGAGCAGGTTCGGTTTCAGTTTGAGGGTTTTGAGATTGGGTTTAGGGTACATCCATCTTCCTAGTCCCCCAAAAGAGCTGCCTAGTCCCCAAAGCCACATCAATGTGGATGTTTCCTGGTTCCGTCTCGTTGTGTCGTTGCGGGTGTTGAATGCCCAGCTTAGAGTTATGAGATATTTCTGATGGCTTGAGTTGGGCTGCTGCATGCGAACAGTGATGATGACAGTGATGTTGGTGTTGTTAGTGTTGGAGATTGGTGCCAACCAAAAAGAGGTGATGATGATTGCCAGTGACTGCCGCTGTTGTGGTACAGGTCTATGCCTACCTGCGGGACCGCAGCAGGGCTGTACGACAAGACCTGCATCTGCAGCAGCCGCTCAGCGCGCGCAGCACGGAGCCCGGGATCTCTGGGTTACGGGGGTGCTAGGAGCAGGATGTCGCGTGATTAGTGAAAACCCCAGCTCTCTGTGAGGAGTTCCGGGAGTGCCACGAGTACTGCCTCCGCTTTGAGATGCTGGCGTTGTTTCTCTTCTCGCTCCGGGAGCCGTGCAAGGCACAGCCGGATCAGCCGGGCTATAGCAGACATCTGGGACTTCAAGCGATCTCGCAAACCATCGACCCATTGCTGACTGCATACCGGGAAGCCCGGCTTCAGGGAGACGATGGGACGCTGCCGAACGAGCCTGCCATTCAGCGCTACGTTGTGCTGCTTCTTTTGGCCGCTTCTCCAGCCACGCTACCAGCACATCTTGCCGACTTGGACTCGGTTGTCTTGCAGCACCCGCTGCTTGTTTCCGCTGTGGCTGCATGCGCAGCCTTTCTTTCTGGAGACTATGTCGGCTTTCTCCGCTTCTACAAGGAAGCGGACTTCTTGTCTGCTGTGGCCTTGGCAGAACTAGCCGACCTCGCACGGCTACGAATGCTGTGGATGATCGCTCGCGCGTACCCCCGCTCGGTGGGAGATTCCGTGAAACTGCCGGGATTGACAAAACTTCTTGCTTGCCAGGACGAGGCGCATGCCAGGGATTTCCTTGCATTCCATGGCTTGACCGTGGACGATGACCCACAAAATCCGCAGGGTCCACGGGTACTCCTGCCCAGGAAGGGCTCCGTGGAGGAGGATGGACACCCTTTGCTGGGCTGCACCACGCTGCCCGAGTGGTGCCGCTTCGCCGGCCCAGATGCGCTGCTGCTGGCGAAGTTCGCCTGCCACAGCAGATCCGACGTCGTGCTGGGCCGAACTGACCCGGTGGAAAATCAGAGCTTGTGCTGCAATGAAAGTGTTGTCTGCTTAGCTGCCCGTACTGATCCAGGCCATTCCCCAATCCAAAAACAAGTCCTGGATGGATCCTCTTCCCCAAATAATGCCCCAACTCAACCCCCTATATAAACCCCCTTCTCTCAAGCAGGACAAGTTCATGCGCCTTGCGAGCCCCAAGTTTTTAGAGGCAGACCGGCGGCCGCGCCTTGGATCTGAAACTTGGGGGAGGGTATGTCTGAAAGTACATGCATATGGCATATATACATATATATTTGTGTTTGTATATATTTCTACTTACTTAGGAAGGACTTCCAGTGTGTTTGAGAGCTCTTGGGCATAATATTGTCTCGGCTTCCTTACAGAGTCTAACCTTTCCCCCAAGAAACATCAACCAGAGCCCCTGTTTAACCCGAAGCCCGACGCCGTAAAACCCTAACCCCTCCCCGCAGAAACCGGCTTGAGGTAGCTTGACTGGGTTGGGGCTCCAGGGTTGCGCGGAAGGGTTTAGGGTTTAGTGGTTTTGGTGCAGGGCGCCCTTTAGGGCTTTTCGGGGGTTTAGGCTGGAATTGGGGGTTGAGTCTTTTGGGGGTTTGGGGTGGTCCAAGGTGTTGAGAGGCTGTGTGTATGGGAAACGAGAAGATCTGAACCCTAACCTGGAACGTATTCTGGAATTTCAGGGTGTAGGGCTTTGGGGGTTTCGGCCGTGAACCCGAGACCTCAGGCGCCTGAAGAATAAGCCCAGCTGACTTAGGGTTTAAGGGTGAAGGGCATGATGATGTCGATTGTCGAGTTAAGTGAAGGCTGCCCCTTCCAGCGTGCATCTCAGTCGATACTTCAAAGACCCAAAACCTGCGTTCTTCATGCAGCACTAAGGAACACAACCTTAAAGATATGGTAGGAATCACTATATGATTTCAGGAGCAGTCCTGAAGTCCATAGTCCGAATCCCTGACTTTCCGCTATCTTCCAGCGCAACTGAGGAGGGACTGGAAGCAGGTCCGCATCCCTGAGATGGATGCCACTTGGCCAGCTCTCCAAAAACTGGGTTTGTTCACACATAAAGCAGGTACTGCTGATAGGTACCCTAAAAGGGGGGCACTAATCCATGGAGCTTATCACTTGCAAAAAAGCACCCACCTGAAAGCTGAAGCCCGAATTTGAACCACACAAAAAGCCCGAAGCCCTACAACAGTGAGCCTTTGCCATGTGCGGCCACATGTTTCACCTCCCACGCCTCAGAATTCCGTTGTCCCCCCCCGGACCGATCCTGCAGGACTGGTTCAACGCTGTGACTGGGCTTGTGAGGAAGCAGGGGTACCACCTGGAAGCCGTGCTGCACTTACGCCTCAAATCAGCCACTCCAAGCTCCCGGAACCCTAAACGCAATCTTGACAGCCCAAGGACCAAGAGGGGGATCGCTTCGAGGTTCTGAACCGCAAGGGGGTCCTTTTCTCGCTGAAGGACTGATACCCTTGTCTAGGGATTAGGCTTAGGGTTATAAGACTGGGAAGGTAAGTCCCGCGAAAGCTCTTTTCCAGGACTTCGCGCAACTGCTCTTGTCAAGAGCTTGTGCCTCCTTGAAAGTACAACAAGCGTTGCATCTGCTCTGGCACACACCTTAGTCGGGGTTCATCTAAATGCCGGGGCCTTTTTGGGGACCCTAAATTATACAGAACATACTACAGTAGAAAACACTCCAAAAAAGGGCCCAGAATGTAGATGTAGATAAGCTCCCCAGGAGCAGCGCCTGGTGAGCCGGGACGGCCGCCGTTGCCTGGCCTCGCCAGACTTTCCGCTGCTGGTGAATATCAAGGTGTGACAAGGGCAGCCCCGAACGCACCCTAGGCTTGAAGCCAGGCTGCATTAAAGCCAAGCTCACCACTGTACAAGGCGAGCCTTGATATATTCATATAGGTATATATATATATATATATAGCCTGACTAAACACTTCAAAACAGTCTGTTATTAACAATCGAAAACTGAGTAAAGAACAAAGAGACGAATTACTTCAACAGAGAGGAAAATCAATATTATTTGAAAGCGAAGACACAGTGCTCCAGCATAAGGGCCTGTCACAAATCACAGTGCTGTGAAGCTTCATGGACGAGGATGGTTGGCGGTGGCCCTCGGTAGTGCCCAGAAGCCGGAAAAAAAGACAACCGGCTGATGCTGACGATGCTCGCCTTGGCTGGCCCAGGCAGCTCGCGAAAGCAGCGCGGTGCTAAACCGAAGGTTTCGTACCTCGCAGACCAGCCGTTGAGATCACATGTGAACGTGGATCGCCCGTTGGAGGCTCACAAGGGAGGGCGTGCACATGCTAGAAAAGAGCCTTGCTGCATCGAGGGTTTGGGGTCGTTCTAGATCCAGGCTCCGCATTGCAGGTTGCATATCGCACTGGTAGCGACGCTAGGTTAGGATACCCCTTTCCCTAATCTTGATGGCTGCACCTTTCTTCGACAATGACCTGTTCGACTTCGCTCCCGATGGCGCGGACACTGGCGAAGATCGGAGCGCCGATGGCGCTGAGCCGGACGACAAGGACCATGAGAGTTTCTCTGTGGCCTCTGGCGCGGCTGGAACTGGAGACGGTCAGGAAAGTTCTGGCCGAGTTTCCAACAAAGCACGAAAGAGGGGCTCCCGAGGCGGATCCGGCGGCCGTCCCGCGGAGGAGAAAAGATGGAGATCGGGAGCGGTGCCAACTGCGCCGTCTTTCGACGGAGATGTGGAAAGCAATCCGTACTGTCTTCGCCACTACCGCAGACGCCTTCTGAGATGGGTCACCCTCACGAAAGAGTACCTCCCGCCAAATGAGCAGGCACTTCGGGCACTGGAGCAGCTTCACGGTCAAGCCGAGCTGGAGTTCGAAGAGGTGGATGATGCGAGGTTCAACCACCCGGACGGAATCCAGAGGCTTTTGGCCGACTTGGAGCAGGCCTTCGGCGAGAGAGAGATCTTCCGGCAGGGCGGCGTCATCCGAGAGTTCGAGTCCATCGGGAGGATGCAGGGCGAATCGATCACGGCTTTCATCCGCCGGTTCCGCTTGTTGGAGCGCAAACTCATGGACAACAAGGTTCCCGCCTACCCGGAGCAGGCCCGTGTCATCAAGCTTCTCGATGGGCTTCGCTTGGACGAGAAGGCAACGGCTTCGGTTCTGCTGGCGGCCGGGAACAAGTACGACATGCAAGCCGTGTTAGAAGCCTTGAGGATTCAGTATCCCCCTGGAATGTCCATCACAGGATTGCCCAAAGGACTGGCTTCTTTGTCTACGAGATCGGCGAGGTCTTCGGCACCGTCACGGGCATCCTCCTACCGCTCTTCTTCGACGGCTACGAGCTCCAGGAAATCTTCGCGGATGGGCCAGGCGAGAAAATGGACCCACTGGCACACCGGCTGGGATGAGGAGATGCCCGAGGAGTTGGTCGAGGAGGATGCTGGCATTGACTACCAGGACGAGATCTACGCCGAGGAAGAGCCCGATGCGCTAACCGAGAACGCGGACGAGGAAGAAGACGAGCTGATCCCCGTCGACGAGGGCGAAGAGCTTGAGATCTACGAGGAGCCAGGCAGCCTAGACTCGGCTGCGTTGCTCGCCTCTGCTGTGGAGGCGCTTACTGTCACCTCCAAGAAGCTAGCCAGCTTGGCCCAGAGTCGCGGCTACTACGGCAACTCCGACGCCAAGTCCAAGGGCAAAGGCGACAAGGGCAAGAGCAAGGGCGGCAAGTCGAAGTCCCAGGGCAAAGGAAAAGGCGCTGGCGGTCCCAAGGGCAAGGGCAGTGGCAAGAAAGGAGGCGGCAAAGCAGCCAAAGGCATGACACATGGCGCAGATAGACAAACACGCCTTCGCGGTTCACTATGTCTTGGTTGTGGCGCCTCTGACCACTGGATCCGTGAGTGCCCTCACGTCTCGAATTTTCAGGCGCAGATCGCCTCGGCAGATCTCGAGCTGGACCCCGAAGGGGTCCCCGTTCACGCTTCGTGGACAGCATCTGCGAACATGTGCGAGGATCAGCTGCAAAGGGCGCCACTGTTTGAGATCCCCAGACCTCCCAGCATATTCCTGAGTACGTGTTCGGATGCTTCTTTCCTCATTGCAGACACTGGTTGCCAAAGACAAGTTGCTGGTCACATGTGGCACCAACAGCGTCAGAGTGAGATGTTGCCATTGAAGCCCCTTCACTTTCCCGAAGTTTGCAAGTTTTCCTTTGGTCCTACGGAAGGCATGCCAAGCCAGGGTCGCTTTCTGTATCCGGCAGGAATCGCAGGGGAGATGGTGGCTTTGGGAATCAGCTCTGTTGACGCTTCGGCCCCGGGGTTGTTGTCGAGGTCCACCATGGAGGCCCTGGGAGCTGTGCCGGACATCTTGGAGGGAAGGATTCATTTCAAAGCGCTTGGTGGCAAGACCACTCGGTTGTATTTGAGTCCGTGTAGACATCTTGCTCTGAAGATTGACGAATGGCCTGAGAACGAGTTTGAGTGGCCGGGTAGATATCTGCATGAGAAGTATGGTCAGCATGGTCCTCCTGATGTGTGTCATGAGAACGCCTTTCCGCCGGAGCGGGTGAGGCTCACAGCCATTGCAAATTCGGATACAGCCCGACAACCGCATGCATCGCAGACAGCGTCCAGGGGCAGCGCCTCCGGCATGGCTGACTCGGTGGCGGGATCTGCTGATGCACCTGGAGGAGTTCGTCTATGTGACCCACCAGTCCGTGCTCTACTACTCGGCCGCGACGCTCCGCCCCAACCTGAAGGACAGAGTTCTCAGCATCTACATGGAACCATGTTCGGCGGTGACGATGATGACCACGCAGGCGGCCATGGCGGCGATGTCGGCGCTCCAGCTGAACCGCTACTTGAAGACCCCAGAGGAGTGCACCCACACGACAGGACCGGGAACGCGCACTTACTCAGCAGCGGGAATACGCATCCGCATCTGCGACAGCTGCGGTATGCGCTGGGCGCTCACAAGCAGAGGGGAAGCTCTGCCAGCCGTGCCGAAGGCGAACCCCAACGCCAAGACACCCATGGGCCTGAACGATGCGCAGAAGCTCCGTCTCGTCGAGGACAAGACCGACAAGGCAAAGGCCAAGCCCAAAGCAAAGACGAATCCAGCGCCCGGGGCAAACGGTGGAAATTCGGACGGATCGTCACAGCCCTTATCGGGCTACTCGCCGGCACCATGGCCAACTACGACACCACCTCCGCCACCACGGTTCCATGGCTCGCCCCAGCTCAGGGCCCCCACTCCGACTCAGAGACCGACGATGTTCAGCCTTCATCGTGGGCGTCAAGGAACGCAACAGAGACAATGGCGAGGCGGACCTCGATCTACGGCAAGCTCGGACACGGAAAGCATGAGTGTGACGTCCGACAACTGGTGGAACATGCGGTCCGACCAGAGGAGAACGTCTCGGAGGCGTCCCAACCTCGAGAACCCCAATGCCGAGGACCAGAACGAGGAGGAGCTGGACATGTCCCGGACTCGCGACATGCAGGAAGCCGAGGAACACCTCGAGGATCTCGAGAACGACGTGAACTACTGGGAGGAGCGCATGGCAAGGGACGACTGGGATCCGGAAGACGTCGAGGCGATGCCGGAGGAGATTCGGCAGGGCTTCGCGCAGCGGGGACACTTCTGAGTTCGGACTCTGAGCACGATGCCGTGGTCTATCCTTTGAGCTGCTCCGATCATCCTCTGGGTCCGGAGGATCGTGGATGCTTCAGTCTTAAGCAGGGGCAGAAGAAGCGCTTCCTGGGGGCAGCCAAGGCTATCCATGCAGCTTGGGCAGCAGAGAGCCAAGTCTACAAAAATCGCACGGAGAGTGCGAGACACTGTCGCAAATTTAAAGCGGACATAGTGGAGATCTATGCGGGCAAGGCAGCTATCTCTGAGGCGGCCTTGAGTGTCGGACTTCGTGTTCTTCAACCCGTGGACACCGTCTACGGGCAGACGCTTGAAAACGATGAAGACTTTGAGGCGTTGGAGAAGTTGTTGCTGGCCCGCATGCCCTACCTCGTCGTGTGGGAGCCGAGATGCACCTTGTGGTCCAACCTTCAGCACTTCAACTACACCGCCGAGGAGCTGGAAGTCCTGAGACGCAAAGAGAGAAAGCACGTGGCGGGTATGAGTCGAGTTATCGAGAATCTCTACACCCGCGGCATCCACTTCCTTATCGAGAATCCCAGGCACACTCCATTCTGGGAAACACCTGAGCTACGTCGACTTCGGGCGCTACAAGATGTTCAGTTCGGCGAGGGCCACATGTGCGCTTTTGGCCTTCGCAACGATCGGGGAGACCTGCTCAAAAAGCCCACGGGGTGGATGGGAAGCCTACCTGAGGTCCTGCAGGCCCTCTGCGTTGAGTGTTCTGGTCAGCACCAACATGGTCAATGCGTGGGTGGCAACGCTGCTCGCAAGGCACAGGTCTACACGGACATGTTGGCAAAGGCATGTGTGGATGGTCTGGTGCGAGCTCTACGCCGAGTTGGTGACGAACGCTGGAATCAGAGTTGGTGGTCAGGCACAAGTCTTCCAGAGGTCAGCAGCCCGTGGGTGAATGATGTGAGCTACGACAACAGCGTCGACAACTTTGAGCATCTTTGGGAGCCGCCTGGAGAACTGGAGTGTCAGGCCTACTTTCTGGATGTGAGCAGGCACCATGACTCTTGGGGTCCCTTGTTGAAGGAAGCAGAACAACGCTTGCGAGGGATGACAACCAGCTCGGTGACCTTGAAGCCCTCGCCGTTCTTCGAACAAGTCAAGACCTTGGTCCCCTGGAAGATCCATAAGGTCCAATTGTTCCGGACGCCCAAGCAAAGGCGGCTTCCCCAAGACGTCTTGTTGGAAGGCATCCAACATCGAGGGGCAGCCTTGCTCTACAATGACGACCAGATCGGCATCGAGGCTGAGACCGTTCACAGCATTATGGACGCTCCCGCAGGCAAGTACGACAAGCCGGTGCGAGTGGCCATCTACTTCTATGGAGACGCCCCGGCAACGAGCCTGAAACCAGAGGACAACGCCAGGCCCGAGGCAGCCAAAGCGCCCGCCAGACATCAGCCAGAAGTTGATGACGAACGAATGCTACCGCACCAACCAGGGTATCGGGACATCAGCTTCCCTGGCGTGGACATTCCCGCATGGGTACAGCAAGTCCTCCGACGCGTACATGTCAACTTGGGACATCCTCCCCGTGAAGTTTTGGTCAGGCAACTGGCCACAGCTGGCGCCAGTGATGTGGCGCTTAAAGGTGCTCGTGCGCTACGATGTGAGACGTGTCTTCGAGTGAGTCCACCTCATCAACCGAGAGTTTCCAAAGCCTTTCAGGCCAAGCGCTTCAACGATCGTATGTGCATCGACGTGATCTACATCAAGGATGTTCGCGGTGGCACGCACATGTTCTTGAATATCGTGGACGATGCCACTTGCTATCAGGTCGCGCCGCGCCTACACAGTCGCTCTGAAGATGCTGTTATCTCCACCTTGGTGGGCGGTTGGTTCCAGTATTTCGGCCCGCCAGACGAAATGGCCATCGATGCCGAGGGCGCCTTCCGTGGCATGCGATTCGAGAATCTGCATGCCCAGCTCAATGTGGCCGTCCGCTGTGTGCCCCCTGATAGTCATTGGCAGCTTGGCAAGGCAGAGCGTCATGGACAAGCCCTCAAGTACAACGCCAGTCGCTTGATCCATCAATTCGCGGCCCTCACGGTCCCAGAGGTCAATCTGTGCATCATTATGGCCTGCTACGCGAAAAATCGGCTCATCCGCCGTTCCGGTAGCTCGCCGGCCCAATGGGTGTTTGGCCGGGACCAGAAACTTCCCGCCTCCTTGCTCAGCGATGGCGGCTCTATAGAGTCCGCTGAACTGCTCAACGACAGTCAACGCCTTCTTCAGATCGAGGCGGTACGTACTGAGGCAATGAAAAATCATCACGCCTTCGAAGCACATGAAGCACTTCGCGCTGCTCTTCTGCGCAAAAGCCGACCCTACCGTGGCACCTTCTCCCCAGGCCAGAAAATCGCTTACTTCCGAGCTCGGACTGCTACGGGAGACGGTGAGGGCTCAGCTGAGGGCTATCGCCAGGGTCTTGTCTTGGCCTTGGATCGCAACCCTCACTCCAACACAGCCGTCAACATATGGGTTCGCAACTCTCGGGGTCGTTTGGTCCAATGCTCCCCAGAGCAGTGTCGGCCCATCTATGGTGAGCAAGAATGGTGGGCACCTGATGCTGCCGACCCGGAGGTGCTTAAACATTGTGACCGGGATCTGCAGATTCATCCTCGCGCTTTTCGAGCTCCTGAAGCCCGTCCAGGTCTTGCAGCTGACCGTTCGGTCGCCCAGGAGCTTGAGCAGGACGCTCGTGCTGCGCTACCCGGAGCTGATGCACCTGCGTTACCCGAAGCTGATGCACATCGTGATCAACCGGCGCCTCTCGTGTTGGACCAGGCAGGCAATCCGGTGGCCGAGTCTCCGATGTTTAGTCCCTTAATGATCGTGCCACCGACGCCAAGATCCGTGCCTGGTACTCCTCGAGGCAGAGCGCGCTCAAGATCGGTACCTCGTGGACAACCCGGACAACCCGAACAGGATCCTGAACCTTCAGAACCAGTGCTTCCTGGGCCTCCAGTCCTATCACGGGAGACAACGGTCGCGCTGGAGCGAGGCGTATCCGGATCAGACCGGACACGTCTACCCGGACAGGATCCTCCTTCAGAACCGGTGCTTCCTGGGTCTCTTGGCAATAGCCGTAGGGCTTCTTTGGCATCCGGCGGTCCACTTTCTCGACAAATATCTCAGCAAGCAGGACATCTCACTCCTGTCCCCGAACCAGAAGCAAAAGGCATCAAGCGTGCGCCAAGCGTAGGCATTGAAGAGTTGGGAGCCACTTCGTCCCGAGCCAGACCAGAGGCGATTTCTTCTTCTTCAATGACCGTTCGAACCTCCCCATGTGAGCTTGAGTCTGAGGCTCATCTTTTATTTTGTCAGGACTGCGGCGAGCAGTACCGCATTTTTCCTCGAGAATGCCATCGTTGTGGTGGAACATGTTCGGTGACGAAGCCCCAAGATGTGGTCTCGTGGCTGGATGAGGTCAAGGAAAGAGAGGCTTTCGACAGGCTGGTGGGCGTCCCAAAGGAACGCGTGAAGACTCAGCCTCTTGAGTACGGCCCCGAGTTGCGAGACGAGATTGAATACTACCAGTCACCCGACAGCACCACGGCATATCCGTCTTCCTCCACCACCATTTCTTCGCCTCCAGGGATGCATCGCCTGGACATTCTCCGCAGACACGCTCGCGGTCAACAACTACGCCACGGGTGGGACGGATCCCCACTTGAGGTGCCACCTATCTACCAGTATGACAGCTTCCTCACTACATGCCATCATGTGTGCCCTGAGGCAATGGTCGAAATGCCCGAGATCACGCCCCAAGTTCTCCAGGTCTCTGAGGACGTGAACGCCAAACCGGCAAGATTGTCTGAGCAGCTTGCGGATGTTCTGCTCCGACGAAAGGACTTCAGCCACGACATGTGTCTACAGCTGCTTCAAGTTGTGGAGATGAAAAGGCCAGACCGACAATGCCTGGCGCCCGGAAAGAGAGACATTGGGTCCTTGACCTTGGGGTACTATAGCCACGGCAAGACGGGTGGCATAACTAATGCCACGCAGCGTCATTCGAGGCTCACCAAGTACCTCAACAACTACCTCCGCCACTGGGGAATGAAAGGCCCCTTCTCAAGCTTGTTCGTGGCGCGCAACGTTCACAGCAAGGCCCACAAGGACGTCAACAACAGCAAGGGCAGTGTCAACGGGCAGGTGGCCTTGGGCGAGCATGTCGGAGGTGAGCTTTGGGTCGAACGCGATCCTGACGACTGCGACTTCGACAATATGGAGCCCAGGTCCATCAACGGTGAAAAGAAGTGGGGCTATGTCAAAGACACGTATCAGAACCTCACGCTCTTCAACCCCGCTCGCTTCCATGCTTCGGCGGACTTCATGGGTGACAGGTACACCATCACTGCCTATCAGACCCGCATGGTCGAGCAGGCGCCTTCTGACCATTTGGACTTCCTCCGCAAGCTGCAGTTCAGGCCGAGCGAGAAAAGAGTGGCCTTCGTGGCTTCAGCCTCGGAAGGAGTCGAGTTGAAGGCCGATACCTCCGAGAAGAAGGCCCCGATGACTGTGCAGGAGGCATACCCTCTCAAGGCGCAAACTAGTGCTTCCACCGAGACCGAGAAGGTGATCGCGATGGAGTCATCTTCGGAAAGCGATGGCAACGACGGCACTTACGAGACCCGTCGTGCTGCACAGCAGGCGCGCAAGAAGGAGGTGCACTGGCAAAGCATGACGGAGGACGAGTTTGCTCCGTTCGTGGAGGCCTTGAAGCGAGAGTGGTCCGAGTGGGAGAAGTGGTCCAGCTGTACGCCGGTGTGGGTTCAGAAGGGAACCGTGTCGCCTCACCTCATCCTCAAGAGCAGAGTGTGCTACAGATGGAAGCCAGTCCCCGAAGGCCAAAAGGCAAAAGCCAGGATAGTCATAGCTGGATTCCGAGACCCACATTTGCCGCTGCTGACCCGGGATGCGCCTGTGTTGGCAAGGACATCCTTCCACCTTTTGCTACAATGGGCGGCGTGCCATCGAGTGACTTTGTGGAACGCCGACTGCAAGTCAGCTTTCTTGCAGGGCGAGCCGGACACTGAGAGGCCCGAATCCATCTTTATGAAGCCCCCGCAAGATCCAGTAGCGTTGGAAGCGGTGCCGCAGTGGAAAGATGTTCGCCTTCTCTATCGCTTATCAGCGCCAGTGTACGGCCAGTCGAATGCACCTCGCCGATGGTTCGAACATGTTCGTAAAGTTCTGACCAACCTCGGCTGGATTCAGCATTCGCTCGATCCATGCCTCTTCATGCAGGTGAGCGGCGACGAAGTAGTATCCCTATTGGGGATACATGTGGATGATCTCCTCGGAGGAGCATTGGCAGGGCATGAAGAACTTCTAAACCGTGTGGAAGCTTCGTTCACGTGGGGGTCTCCGTGGGTGTCAAAGGACTTCACCTTCGTAGGCCGACATGTCAGGCAATGGCCTGACGGCTCCATCACCCTGGATCAGGCGTCCTACATCAATGAAGTGCCGGCAACCAAGGTCAAGTTGGAGGAGTCTGTTCCGCTGCATGATAATCCTGAGCTCATCACGGAATTTCGCTCCGGCATCGGATCCCTGCAGTGGCTGGCCGGCACGACCCGGGGCGACGTATCGGCCGACACGAGCCTGCTTCAAAAATCACCCAAAGAGCTCACTGTCGCGGACTTGAAGGAGGTGAACTCCGTGCTCCGCTACATCCGGGCCACCTCCGAGGCATCGATCAAGATCGTCCCCCTCGACCTGGAGAAGCTCATCTTCGTGACGTATGGCGACTCCGGGTTTGCGAACGCTCCAAACAACAAATCGCAAGGTGGTCTAGTGGTAACGGCCACAGACAAGGAGGCCTTGGGTCAAACCAGGGCAGCTTCGTTGCTGGACTGGAAGAGCTATCGACATCAGAGGATCCTCCGCAGCACTTTGGCTGCAGAAGCTGCGGCGCTGGATCGGTCCTACGATCATGCCCGGTTCATGGCCATGGCCTTCAGCGAGATGGTCTACGCGAACTTCAAGGCGACCATGAACGAGAGGCCCTTGTTCGAGGTCATACCGGTCACGGATGCTCGTTCCCTCTGGGATGCAGTCCACAGGCTGTCGACGAGCTTCACGGAGAAGAGGGTGGAGATCGACGTGGCAGCCCTTCGCCAGTCTTGTAGAGGCCTACGCTGGGTTCCTACTGAGCAGATGAAAGCCGACTGCATGACGAAACGCTCCAGGCTTTTGAGAGATGCCTTTCGACGATGGATGGCAGAGCCGTCTGTCACACTGGTAGATAGCAAAGCACCAGGCGACATCATGACTGGCGCTGATGCCAATGTAGCTTGGAGGCAGAAGTGATCTCAAGGCTGTAGAAAACATAACCGGTGCTAAACCGAAGGTTTCGTACCTCGCAGACCAGCCGTTGAGATCACATGTGAACGTGGATCGCCCGTTGGAGGCTCACAAGGGAGGGCGTGCACATGCTAGAAAAGAGCCTTGCTGCATCGAGGGTTTGGGGTCGTTCTAGATCCAGGCTCCGCATTGCAGGTTGCATATCGCACGCGGGACCTGGGAAGCCTGAAAAAAGACAATCGGCTGATGCTGATGATGCTCGCATTGCTCGCCTTTGGCGGGCCCGGGCAGCTCGCGAAAGCAGCGCGGGACCTGGGAAGCCTGAAAAAAGACAACCGGCTGATGCTGATGATGCTCGCCTTGGCGGGCCCTGGCAGCTCGCGAAGGCAGCGCGGGACCTGGGAAGCCTGAAACAGGACAACCGGCTGATGCTGATGATGCTCGCCTTGGCGGGCCCTGGCAGCTCGAAAGCAGCATGGGACCTGGGAAGCCTGAAAAAAGACAACCGTCTGATGCTGATGATGCTCGCCTTGGCGGGCCCTGGCAGCTCGCGAAAGCCGCGCGGGACCTGGCCTGAAAAAGACAACCGGCTGATGCTGATGATGCTCGCGTTGGCGGGCCCTGGCAGCTCGCGAAAGCAGCGCGGGACCTGGGAAGCCTGAAAAAAGACAGCCGGCTGATGCTGATGATGCTCGCCTTGGGCAGCTCGCGAAAGCAGCGCTGGACCTGGGAAGCCTGAAAAAAGACAACCGGCTGATGCTGATAATGCTCGCCTTGGCGTGCCCTGGCAGCTGGGAAGCCTGAAAAACCGGCTGATGCTGATGATGCCTTGGCGGGCCCTGGCAGCTCGCGAAAGCAGCGCGGGACCTGGGAAGCCTGAAAAAAGACAACCGGCTGATGCTGATGATGCTGGCCTTGGCGGGCCCTGGCAGCTCGAGAAACGCAGCGCGGGACCTGGGAAGCCTGAAAGAAGACAACCGGCTGATGCTGATGATGCTCGCCTTGGCGGGCCCTGGCAGCTCGCGAAAGCAGCGCGGGACCTGGGAAGCCTAAAAAAAACAACCGCTGATGCTGATGATGCTCGCCTTGGCGAGCCATGCCAGCTCGCGAAAGCAGCACGGGACCTGGGAAGCCTGAAAAAAGACAACCGGCTGGTGCTGACGATGCTCGCCTTGGCGGCTCGCGAAAGCAGCGCGGGACCTGGGAAGCCTGAAAAAAGACAACCGGCTGATGCTGATGATGCTCGCCTTGGCGGGCCCTGCAGCTCGTGAAAGCAGCGTGGGACCTGGGAAGCCTGAAAAACGACAACCGGCTGATGCTGATGATGCTCGCCTTGGCGGGCCCTGGCAGCTCGCGAAAGCAGTGCGGGACTGGGAAGCCTGAAAAAGACAACCGCTGATGCTGATGATGCTCGCCTTGGCGAGCCCTGGCAGCTCGCGAAAGCAGCGCGGGACCTGGGAAGCCTGAAAAAAGACAACCGGCTGATGCTGATGATGCTGCCTTGGCGGCTCGCGAAAGCAGCGCGGCACCTGGGAAGCCTGAAAAACGACAACCGGCTGATGCTGATGATGCTCGCCTTGGCGGGCCCTGGCAGCTCGCGAAAGCAGCGCGGGACCTGGGAAGCCTGAAAAAGACAACTGCTGATGCTGATGATGCTCGCCTTGGCGGCTCGCGAAAAAAGCAGCGCGTGACCTGGGAAGCCTGAAAAAAGACAAGCGGCTGATGCTGATGATGCTCGCCTAGGCGGCTCGCGAAAGCAGCGCGGGACCTGGGAAGCCTGAAAAACGACAACCGGCTGATGCTGATGATGCTCGCCTTGGCGGGCCCTGGCAGCTCGCGAAAGCAGCGCGGGACCTGGGAAGCCTGAAAAAGACAACCGCTGATGCTGATGATGCTCGCTTTGGCGGTCGCGAAAGCAGCGCGGGACCTGGGAAGCCTGCGAAAAGACAACCGGCTGATGCTGATGATGCTCGCCTTGGCGCGCGAAAGCAGCGCGGGACTTGGGAAGCCTGAAAAACGACAACCGGCTGATGCAGATGATGCTCGCCTTGGCGGGCCCTGGCAGCTCGCGAAAGCAGCGCGGGACCTGGGAAGCCTGAAAAAGACAACCGCTGATGCTGATGATGCTCGCCTTGGCTGGCCCTGGCAGCTCGCGAAAGCAGCGCGGGACCTGGGAAGCCTGAAAAAGACAACTGCTGATGCTGATGATGCTCGCCTTGGCGGCTCGCGAAAGCAGCGCGGGACCTGGGAAGCCTGAAAAACGACAACCGGCTGATGCTGATGATGCTCGCCTTGGCGGGCCCTGGCAGCTCGCGAAAGCAGCGCGGGACCTGGGAAGCCTGAAAAAAGACAACCGGCTGATGCTGATGATGCTCGCTTTGGCGGGCCCTGGCAGCTCGCGAAGCCTGAAAAAAGACAACCGGCTGATGCTGATGATGCTCGCTTTGGTGGGTTCTGGCGGCTCGCGAAAACAGCGCGGGACCTGGGAAGCCTGAAAAACGACAACCGGCTGATGCTGATGATGCTCGCTTTGGCGTGCCCTGGCAGCTCGCGAAAGCGGCGCGGGACCTGGGAAGCCTGAAAAAAGACAACCGGCTGGTACTGATGATGCTCGCTTTGGCGGTCGCGAAAGCAGCGCGGGACCTGGGAAGCCTGCGAAAAGACAACCGGCTGATGCTGATGATGCTCGCCTTGGCGCGCGAAAGCAGCGCGGGACTTGGGAAGCCTGAAAAGCGACAACCGGCTGATGCAGATGATGCTCGCTTTGGCGGGCCCTGGCGGCTCGCGAAAGCAGCGCGGGACCTGGGAAGCCTGAAAAAAAACAAACGGCTGATGCTGATGATGCTCGCTTTGGCGGGCCCTGGCGGCTCGCGAAAGCAGCGCGGGACCTGGGAAGCCGAAAAAAAAACAAACGGCTGATGCTGATGATGCTCGCTTTGGCGGGCCCTGGCGGCTCGCGAAAGCAGCGCGGGACCTGGGAAGCCTGAAAAACGACAACCGGCTGATGCTGATGATGCTCGCTTTGGCGGGTTCTGGCGGCTCGCGAAAACAGCGCGGGACCTGGGAAGCCTGTAAAACGACAACCGGCTGATGCTGATGATGCTCGCTTTGGCGGGCCCTGGCGGCTCGCGAAAGCAGCGCGGGACCTGGGAAGCCTGAAAAACGACAACCGGCTGATGCTGATGATGCTCGCCTTGGCGGGCCCTGGCAGCTCGCGAAAGCAGGGAAGCCTGAAATTGGCGGGCCGTGGCGGCTGAGCAGGCTGAGAAAGGCGAGAAGCGACAATCTACAATTACTGATGCTCGCCTCAGCACCTCAAGGGCAGAACGTTCGGCTCAATCAGCCTTGATACGGTGCTCCTCGCCACCCTCGCCACAAGCCAGGCATCCCTAATTGTCTAAGCCCCAAGAAGCCCCAAGTTCAAACTCTGCACCCTGCCGCAGGAGTGGAAGTTGTCGGAACTTCGGCGTCGAGCCAAAACCTCGGGGTCCGAAGAGCGGAAGACCCAGGCCTTGGAGAGAGCATTAGGATGCGGTAGGGTTGAGGGGGGTTTTATGGGTTCAGGAGCTGTGGTCTATAGGGTTTCAGGGTTGGTCTGTAGGATTTCGGGTTTAGGCCGTTTTCCTTTTTTGGGGCTTGGGGTTGAGGGGCTTCTGTCAATTTGGGTCCCCTTAGAACTCTTAAACCCGAATCCTGAAGCCCCAAAAGCCCCAAAACCCACATATCCGAAAGGGCCCCACAACCCCAAAAGCCCCGAAGAAGCCCTGAACCCAAAGAGCCTAAAGATCCGAGCTCCCCAAGACTTGTGCCTGCAAAGAGGCCGCCATCCAGAAGCAGATTGAGCAGCTGAAGCGGGGCCGCCCTGGCGGCTCGGTGGTATTGGGCTTTAGGGTTTAGGCAGCTTGGGTTAAAGGTTTGGCCCACAAAGAAGACGACCTGACCCACCTCCAGCCGTGCACCCCACGAGATCAGGGGGCGATGTCGGTTTAGTGGCTTGGGGCTCGGGCTTGTTGGGTTCGCAGCCAAGGTTTCAGGAGGTTTTGATCAGAGCTGATGAGGGTTTAGCTAAACCTTAAACCCCAAAGCATTGACCCGAACTCTAAACCGCAAGAAGCTCTAAGTCAAAAAAACTCCCAGAGCTCTGAACTCCTACACTCACAAACCGCATGCCAAGGTAAGCTCCTCGGCGCGCAGGAGCGCGAGAAGCTGGAACAGCTGCGTGAGGCAGAGTCGCAGATCCAGGTGCGGCACTGCTTAGGGCTCAGGGGTTTAAAGGAGTATGACCTTTGTGCGTTTGAAGGGAACTTCATTTTTTTTCAGGGACCCTACCTAAGGTAGCCAGAATGTTGGCGAAAAAGGGAACTCCATGATACCTTCCTCAGTTTGGGGGCTCTATCTACTTGAGGATGACGATCGGCAGCCCCGCGACGAGACTTCCGCAAATCACCAAAAGAAAGTGCCCGAACTCTCCTCCGTAATCGGGCCAAGGGTCCAGCAGGATGGTCGTGTGGCCCGGGCGGAAGGGGTCGAATGCGCGGGTGGGCGGGGGTCGGAAAGTGAAAGAGGAGAGGGAGAGGACTAGAAATGGACAGTGTGACAGAGGGATGACGAGAAAGAGAGAGAGAGAGAGAGAGAGAGAGAAAGAGAGAGAGAGAGAGAGGGACAGAGAGAGAAAGAGAAAGAGAGAGAGAGAGAGAGAAAGATAAAGATAAAGATAAAGAGAATAAGTTCAGATCAAGAGAGAGAGAGAGAGAGAGAGAGAGACAGTCTAGGCTTTAGAGCTTCTTTTTCTTGACAAGGACTGGCCGTCTCACGCGGAGGAACAAAACCCAGACGTAACAGACTAAGCCACTTGGATGACGTCTAGGAAGTGAAACGGGGGATGCACGGGATAGAAGGGGGTGGGGGGAAGTCATCCAGGGTGCATGAATCTGGTTCCGCCGCGAAGTGTCACCCGGACTCGGTGCAGACCGGGCGCGAGGTTCGCTTCCCTCAAGCCCCGAAGAAGAAGGGGAAGGAGGTCAAAAAAGACTTTTACGAAGCCCTAAATCCTTGAGACCCTTAAGACACGCTAGAAACCCCCAAAGTCAATAAACGCTCTTAGAAGCCCTCGCATAAGCCCTAAATCCACAAGCCCACACCTTAAACCCTAAACGTCCCTAAGCCCAACGCTCTTCAGGTCCAGCTCCAGCAGGCGAAAGCCCAGGCTCAGCTCCTTCTGCAGAGCCGGGCGGCGCGCCTACTCCAGGCCCGAAGCTTTTGGTTTTTCTCTCTTTGACGGCGACTTAAGAGAGGTGCACCCGGGCCTTCTGGGATGTTGTGGGGGTAACAAGTTTTGTTTTGTGTGGGGGGGGTTAGGGCTCTTAAGTCGGGTTTGAGGGAACAGCGCGTATCGATCGAACTATTGGCTCCTGGGTCTCGCAATAGAAATGCTCACTTGCTTTAGAAGTTGTTGGCCAGACCTGAGCCGGCCGGCCTTTAGGACGTGCTGCGTGCCTCGTGGTCCGGTGCCAGAAGGGTGTACACAGCCATGGTGTTCGGGGTACTCAGCTGTTCGGACTCTGAGCGCGGAATCGGCCTCGAACCGTCACGGAGAAGCTGTTTTCCCTTTGTCCTGTCATACGTAGTTGGATGGAAGTGGCTGTCGTTCAGTTGCACGAAAAACCCTCCGTTGTTCGGTGCCTTGTTGCTGCCGCTAGCAGATGTCGGCGTCATGGTCGCCGCTTTGTTGGTTTCGTCTGCGCTATGACTGCGGGCCTTTAAGGCCTGGGCCACCGGCAAAAGCAAAAGCAAAATGGGGTTAGGGTTGAGAGTTAAGTGCGAAGAGCTACACTGTGATGTGTGGACTGTGGGTTGAGGCTTAGGGTGAACGCGTAGGAGCTGAGGGCACGGAAGGTCCTCCAGAGCGTGGAACCTGAAACACGAAACCCAGAGCCCTCAACCGCAAACCCTGAACCCAAATTCCTGTGTTAAAACAACTGCTTTGAAACATACGTTCAAAAGCAACTGTTTCAAAACAGTTGCTTCAAAGCAGCGCTTTTGCACAGAACCCCAAACCCTAAATGCTAACCCCACCCTTACTAAGCCCTAGGCCCGAAACCCGATAGGCGGTGATCCGCGGGAAGTGCGTGCGCCTCGGGCTGCGACAGCGGCACCGGGCGGCGCGGACGCTGCAGCGCGGCTGGCGAGGCGACAGGGGTCCGGGTTTAGGGTTGCAGAGGTCGGGTTGAGGGTTGAAGGGTTTACGGGGTTTAGGGCTTTGAGCTTTGGGGTCCAGGGTTTGGGATTGTAGGTGTTAGGGCTGCTTAAGGATCTGAAGGTAGTTCTAGGCTATGTTTTTTGCTACAAGTGGTTGTAACCTGATTTGGGTGAACATGTCATCCCGTGTTCAACTACCCATGAACCTGCAAGTAGGGAACCGCCTGCTCTCACCCTAAACTCCCCTCAACCCCAACAGGGCCAAAGGCTAGGCTACCTACGATCTTTTCGGAGCCCTCGATATCACACTAATCAATGAGCCAGCGAAGGGCTGCAGCGAGTTCTTGCAAGGCTCGATGCTATGCCTGGGTTAGGGCTTGGGATGCTGTTCATGCCCAAACCTGCTGTCTGCGCTGTCCGACTGCAATACCATGGACTATAGCATGTGATTCTAGCTCCGAAGGCCGGGTAGCCCTTGCTGAACCTAAACCGAGCATCTCTGGCAGGCTATCTGGGCCGCCTCCGGGTACTACAGCTCCGCGAGCTGGCCGTGCAACGGGTGAAGCCACCCGGACAACAACCTTGTGGCGAGGGGTTTAGGATTTAGGATTTTTAAGGTTTCCTGACAAAGCGCTCCGATATCACGGTTATTGTGCAGGCCGTAAGCCCTGAGCCCCAGCTCGCTGGCGCCGCCACAAGGGATGTAGAACCCACATCAGGCCAGGACACTGCACCTTCTCACAATGGGACCACTGCTTGTCCCTTGAAAGGTGATTTCCCTAACAGCCCAACAGCCCCTCATGGGATTTTCATGCCACACCCTTTCCCCCAAAAAAAACATCGCTTTGTGAGTGCTTTGCGCTTTGCTTGTGCCGAAGGCAGATAAAGCACGTGCCCTGGCTGCAGGAAGATGAGCTTGCCCTTCTTAGCCGGATGCTAGGGCAGGTTTTCCGGGGCCATAAGCATCGGAAGCTCTTGCGCGAAGGGTTCAACCAGGGTCTTCCTCTATCCTAGGTTAGGAAATGGCGGCCACGGTGGTGTTGTGTATATGTGGACCAC